TTTCCCTAATAGTGATAACCTCATCCGATCTGCACAAACATGGAGAGATATGGGTAGTTCCCAATACTGATCATGTGTGTACAAGATTTTTCTTTGTGTGAGTACAAAACTTCTTTTAACATTCACCTTCTGTCTTTTCTAGGCTTTTTTCCCCATGTTTTTCCCTCTGACAGTTTTAAATGAAAGAGATAAGAAATTTCTTCCTAATTCTTTAAAGGATTACTTGATTTTTAATTTCACTGTGTACTTATTGTTGCTAGGAAATGTATAAGTTAGTGACAATGATTTAGTAAACATTATGTTCCAGAAGAAAAAGTGCAATGAATGCAGAGTTACTGATTCTTCCCACTCTGTAGCGTTACCTCATGTTAGTAAGTCTATCCATGTATCATAAAACTTCTCTTTTGTTAGGATCTATGTTTTAAAGCTAAGGAATTCATTAATGAGAAGAAGGCTTCCTGTCTCCGATGTCAGCATTTCCCCCTCTCACCCATGACACATGTTACGGGCTGACATAGACCTCAGCCCTGCAAAAAGAGTCATGCTGACTTCCAGTTAACCCGTTGCAGTGGTTCCTTTTGGTTTATCAGAGGGGCTATTCAACCTGAGGCTTTTCAGGTAAAAGGGAAGTCCTACCACCCTTCACTCCCTAGCGTTCAGCATCTGCATATAGCAGTGAAGCACAGTAGAGCATTGTAACAGGAAACTTGTTAACATATGGAATAAACACTCTTGACTATTGAATGAAGCAGATTTTTTTTTTTAGGTAAATTCATAACAAACTAATTAAATTTCATTTTCTGTACTTTTTTTTTTTTTTTTTAGTTATGAAGATGGTCAAGTGGGTGATACAAGTATAAATACACAGGAACCAAGCATTCATAAAGAGATTCTTCGAGTCATTGGCAATCAAACTGCTACTGGTTAAAAGGACCACTCTTATTTAATTGATGTGATTTGGAAGCCTTCCTCAGTCTCAAAGCTGGATTTTGAACTGAAGAAGATGCAAAAAACTAATTTATTATTATTATTCTAAGCAAATTAACCCTTTGAATACTTACTGTTTTCTTACTTAGTATTTCTTATCTCATCAAGATACCTAAGATGGTATGAATTAGCAGCTGTAGGGGTAAAAAGTCTATTGATATACTACAACTAATAATAATTAAACAGGCATTTGGGTTGCTCACAATAAACAGACTTTGAAAAGGAGTTTTGTGCTGATATTTTTACATTAAACTCTTCAATTGGAGGTTTTAGTACTGTATACTGGTATTTTAAATTTAGAATGACTGAATTATAACCAAGAGAGAAGATTTTATAGCGGAGAACCTGTATTATGCAGGATACTTTGCAATAAGTAAAATATTCTCATATATAAATACAATAAAAGGCTATCTGGAACATGTAAATTAAAGAGATTGGTTACCTGCAGTTATCTTTGATTCATTTTATTTTACACAGATACAGCTAGGATTTAGAATCAAAGGTTAAAACAATAATACATTGTTGACTTAGTCAGTGAAACCAAATGAAACGTAATGACTCCGATGGTGTGTCTTTACTCTTCTTTAGCCTCTCTGGAAAAAACTATTCATTAAATAGTTCAGTTACATATTTTAATTATACAAGCCCAGCAAACAACTAGAAATTCAGAAGATAACATCCTTTTTACAGATTTATTTTGTATACATTATTTTTGCAATTTCTTCAAGTAACAACATTCTTTAATGTTTTTGCCTTAACTTTAGTGAGACTGCTCTTGTGGTTTAAGTTAGCCACATATTTAAGTGCCACCAGAATTAGAATATTTTTATGTTTGAGTTGATTGTTAATACATTAGAAAATGCAAAGAAATATAAAATTTTACTGATTTCCTCTTGCTGAAATTCTTTTATTAATTTATTCCTAAGACACATTGAGCCCATTCATATCTCTCTGTCCTTTACACTAACAACTGTCTTTTCTCTTAATAAATGGTTACCACCAAGTAAGCAGGTTGGCAACACACATAGGGGCCCGGTCCCTGAGTCATAAAGCATACCGTTTGCCCTGCTGAGCACATTTGGCCCTCACAGTTGCCATCTTGCAGGATCGCACCCTTAAATAAGGAGAGCAGTTGAGCTTGCCCATCCATACACTTCGTACAGGCCACCTCGGAAGGTAAAAATTGACCAGAGAGTTCATACCCTCAATTCTCCATTGTGTGATTTTCATAATAGAGATCTTGAAGAGCCTAATAATGGCACATCACAGGCTAGTGTTTGTTTCCTTTAGATAGAACTGCATTAGAGGGATAATTTTCATACTTTCTAGTAGTGGGTGATTCCTTTTTTTTTTAGTCCCAGCTATACTCTCCTTATTTCCTGCAGTAATTGAAATGCTCTGCAGGCAAAGTAGTGTTATTTTACTTGGAGATGTTTTTAGCAGCTCAGGCTTACTTATTGCTGACCTCAATTCTGGTTTAACATCTAAACCTGTAAACCTGATTCTGTTTGCAAATTCCCCTTTTGCTCTTGAATTTCTGTTGGCTTTCACTACCGTTTGGTGGACCCCTAGTTTGGGAATCACTGCTCTAATTGTTATCTCTTGTTTTGGGATACAGGTTAACTTCTTGAAACAAAGAGGATTCCTGAAATTAATATTTCTGTATTAGGACTGCACTAGGTTGTGCAACTTGCAACTGCACAAAATCAGAGTAATTCAGAAGTGGAGCTGCAAACATGGAATTGCTATCCCTCCATAGTTTTTCCTGCTCTAGGTGGCTGAATTAGAATGTGTCACAGAACATAGCCAAAAAATTAGGAAGCAAGTCCACAAAGATATCCTACAGTGACTTACTGGAATGATTGTCCACTGCTCTGAGAGGCCTCCTCAAAATTTAGGAAGAAAGATGACCCTGAGAGAAGGGGAGAAGCCAGGTGAGCAGTCGTATTACCTGTCCCACGTAGCAGGATCACAACTGAAGCCTTTGAAGGAAGAAACCTGGAATATAGCTATGACAGTAAGTCAGCCTTGGTTTGCATAGTGGTGTCATGGTGCTGGCCGTATATGGAGCCATCGTAAGTGCAACCTTTGAAAAGGGGAAAGAAGTACATCTCTGCCATCTTTTAAGACTGTTTGGAAAATTGTTTTACATGGTTCAATGGGAGGAAGGGAAAGTGTGGAGGAAAGCAGAGCTCTGCAATGTGCGTGGGGACCTTGCTGTAGTAAGGAGTCCACTTGAGAGAATAGTTTTGAGGGGATTGACCAAAGCATGGCGGAGAAGGAAGGTGACCAAAAGTAAAAGGCATAGGGTGATGAGCACAGAGGCTGCAAAACAGTGGGAGAAAGCAAAACTATTCAGGGAGAAGGATAGTTCTGCAGAGGCAAGTGGAGTGTTGGTGGGGAAAAATAAAGGGATGGGAGGTGCCGAGGTACTGATAGGTGGCATTAACAGCTCAGGTCACACCCACGTATATGAAAGTTATGGATGGAAGGAGAAAGGATTGCTAGGGCAAAGCCATAGTGTGGGGCAAAGGCAGCCCACTAGTGGGGCACAGCCCTGGGGAGCTCTGGGGAGCCAGGGCTACGGGTGAAGGTTTTGCAGTGCTAGGACGCCAGCCCAGTGTCACATACAAATATAGGGGCACAAAGAGCATCAGTGCACAAGGTGGTAACGGAGGTAATAGAGCTTGACTTTGGAAACAGCTTCTTATGTCTCCTGATGTCAGTGTGTAAGGAGCTCTGTTTATTCCCTCCATATCTGTAGTTACTCCTACTATCTGTAGGAGTCATCCTGAAAAGCTCCCTCTGAGCAGGAGAGGAGGTCAAGATCCCTAGGGAGCTGCGGGCGTGTTTTCTGCTTTCCCTGCTGTGTCCACATCCGTGGGACTGTGCCAACACTGTGGCTTCAAGGGAAATGTGAAGATTTTCCATGTATTTACTCTCAGCTCTGTGCAGCCACACAAGGGAGCATGCAGGCTTTAAGAAAGGGTGTATGGTGTGTGATTATCAATCTTAATTTCTGTGGTTTTCTTTCTCAGATGACCTCACTTAAGAAGCAGATTGTCCTGATTGAACTCCTACTTACATATAGAGGTATTTGTTTAAAGAAATCTCCTGTGCATAAAAATTAACTTTAAAAAAGTAGAAGGACCTGTTCCTGCAAGGTCCTGAGAGGCTAGGCCTTGTTAAACCCCATTATTAGTGGAGCTGAAGAGCAATGAGCTCATTGCAGAGTCAATCTATCCACGAAAGTATGCTGCTTTTCTTACCAGCTTTATTTTCCTTACCTTTACCATGCACCTAATTGTATAGGAAGCTAAGTTAATTTCCTCACGAGGACAAAAATTGGTTCGGAGGTACTATGGTCATGATCTGCAGGTGCCAGAGTCTATATAGAGTGATGCATCATCTGAGAGCTCATAACTCCACGGGAGTTGAGGGAATCCAGGACCTTATGGGATTGCATCCCACGGAAATCCTCCCACTTTACCAACAGCAATAGAATTAAACTGAAATTCACTTGCTACGCCGTATCTTGATCACTCTTTTTTTTTTAGGTGAAATATTAATCAGAAACTTCTTCTAGGTGTTATATTATCTGCAGGTGGAAATGTTTCTTCAGATCGTTCCTTTAACAAGGTGTTATTGGGGGGGGGGGTGTAACTCAAAAAAAAAAAGCCCTTCTAGCGCTGACTTCAAAACTGAAGCAAATACTTGATCATCAAGAGCTGGAATGAAAAAGCCTGAGGAGAAGGTTTTCTTTGAAGGATTTCTCCTAGAAGTTTTATCTAAGGGCGGGGGTTGCATATTGTCAAATACTTCCAAATACTTAACGTTTGCGAGGATTCCAGGGGATGAAAAATAAAAGCTAGGGTCATCGGAACAAAGGCCCTGTGTTATTTCTAAAGCTTTTCCCCTTCCTCCTGATCCTCTATATAAGAGCCATCCTTGAAACTCCCTCTGTAAAGATGCAGGCTTTTCACAGATAGCTTTTAGTGACAGAGAGAAAACAGAGCCCCAGGCTCTGTTACCTTCCTTGGTAGAAATCTGCATGAGGCCATATCTATCTAGCTGTAACCACATACAAAATGGAGCAACCTAGACCACTCCTGGGAAAACTTTCTAACTTCCTGCATCCTACACCAAATTGCAACCCACAGATATAAGCGGTTTGATGGAAAAATTATTTTAATACCTTAATGTTGCCCCCTAATTATAAATTGCCCCATTTATACTTCTGTGAGTATTTTAAACATTGAGAACGGAATTTTAAAAATACACTTTTAAATCTTTCTTGAAATTGAGACAGATGTTTAGCATTCAAGGGGTTAAGCAATATGGGTTATCTTCTTACCTGATACAAATCGGCATAGCTCTGTTTTCTTCAGCAGTGCTACACTGTTTTGATCACTTGAGTCTTTAGCTCCGTATTACTTAACATAGAATGGCCAGTTTGTATAATTCTCTGCTTAATGTTTTACAGGAATTAGCTGATGATGCCAGATTTGTTTATGCTTGTTTTTTTCTCTAAAGCCCTTGAAAAACTGTTACTGTTGCTGTGTAATTTCGGTACTGAAAATGAATCAGATGAATAATGCTAAGATTATGCTTTTGTTAATACAAATCTATGACCATTTCTAAATGAAGACTTTGTGCTTATATCAAAGGTACTATGTCTATAAAGCACTTCCTACTGCAGAAAAATAATCAGTGTACTTCCAATACTGATGAGTACAAAGTTCCAGGAAAGGACGATTGAATGAAGAGGTTCGTTATTTAAAAAGAAAATCTAAAACCCCTAAACAAATATGGAAACAGTATCCAAGTACTTAAAAGCAATGTATTAATTAAATGGATTTCTTCTTGGCTCTAGAAAATGTAAGTAAAATGAAAAGAATACTTGTCGTGACTGACGAGGAAATAACTAAGCAGGAGTAAAAGCACTCTGGAATCTTAGCATTTTCGAAACATACAGGTTTTGGGTCTGATCTTGTGTTGTACCGAACACCCACTGAAGGTGCTGAGGGTTAGGCCCTTGAACAAAATTAAGTGTTGTTTTTTGTACTGGTCATTTCTCACTCCTATAGTAAGTTTTTTAAAAGCTTCTGAAGCAAAGGCCCATTGCAAATGAGATCGCGTTAGATGTAGAAACCTATGCATCTTTCAATCTGTAGGCCTAGGTGGAATTTAGCAGGACTGAGCTTTTCTTTGGCTGCGTTATTGCTAAGACTGTTGTAGAGTGAGCAGCAACCTTGTTGGTGAAGGCGATTGAGAGAAACAGCTGTAAAGGACACGGTAAATGGAGCCGGGGTGGGCTCGCAGAGCTCCCCCCCGCGGGCTGCTGGGGCCAGGGCAGCGCGCTGGCAGCGCAGCAGCAGCCCCACCGGCTCCCATCAGCTTTCAGGTTGCTTCTTCGGGCATTTAGGGTCCTACAGCGCTTTATTTGCGTAATGGAGGTGTCAATCTGATGTCTTGCTGAAATTCTTCATTACAAACACTACCTCAAGGTGAAAGACAAGCCTGTTGACTAAGCTATATAAGGTCCTTTGTCTGAAGAGCAGTCAAAATATGTGCAGGACTAAAAGTCATCCAGAAAGTATCTTGAGTCTAGTCTGTCAGGGCAGTAATAATTTTCAAATTT